GAGGCTTCCACCTGCCTACCTCTCACACCCTTGTCTCCATTTGGTGCATGTAAGGATTTTCTATATATTAGGTTTGTGTCAAGCAGAGGTCACCCTAGATGGCAGAGTCTGGAGCTCTAGGCTTACGGACTGGCTCTGCTAAGGCCTGAGGCCAGGCCCCTTGCCCTGTCTGCCTCCCTTGGCTCCATCTACAATGGCAATTGTCCAGCTACCTCCTGGGGCTGTTGGTGGGAAAGCCGGTTAAAAAAGTGGAAGAGAAAAGCTCTTTATAATCTGCAAAGCAGTGCAAGAAAATCACGTTTAAATCACCAGCTTTTTCTGCCTGCTTCCAAGTGCCAGCATGTACATGTTGTCCTCCAACCACACAGTAACTGTAAGACAGGTACTATTATTATGCCTGAGTCCCCAAGAGGTGTGGATGCTTGACCACGATGTCACAGCCAGCTCCAGGACGCCCTTCCACGATCCCTACAGCTGGAAAGGATCTCTCTTTCCCCAAGATCTGTGCCCTGCTCGCATTTCCCTCTCTTTGGCAGGGCTCAGTGTACCCTTGGCCTTGAATGTGTGGAGCTGGGTTCCTGCCCTGCTCCAGCTGGAGCTTCTTGAGGGCAGGAATAGCTTCTAGGTGACTTGTCACCTCCCTGTCCTTTAGCTCAGAGTTTTAGATGATACCATCCTCGGTGATTAAGGGAGAGTGGGAATGATGAGAGTGAAGGGTGGGGAATGATGAGAGTGAAGGGTGGACAATGATGATGGTTCAGTTCATGGGCTTTGAGATGAGCTAGACCTGGGCCGAGTCAGCTCTGCTACTTACTGGCTAGGGGACCCTGGTGTATATTTTTAAAAGATGCCATGTGTTGAGCAACCCTGGTGTGACAGGCCCTATGCCAGGCTCTGGGTCTGTGAGTGGGTTGACTGGCACACATAAAGAATGCAGCACACTCTTGCTACCCATTTAGCTAGTGCTATTACGCCTACTAGCCTGTTGAATCCTTGCAACCAATCTCAGGGTTGGTTTCATTACTCCTATTTTATAGACATGGAAATGGAGACCCAGAGATGTTTAGCACCTCACTCAAAATCATACAGAGATTTGATGGAGGAGCTGGGACTTGAACCCAGGTCAGCCTGGCATTGCTTGCCTCTGTAGGTGTCAGCTCTCAGGTCTTCTCATCTGTGAAGTGGAGTGGTGTGTGTAAAGGCCACACTTAGCACAGGGCTGGAGACATTGTGGGTCTGTGACTATTCAGCACTGGTGCCCAGGAGGCAGCCTCTGTGGTGGGACAGGCATACAGGGTGTTGATGAGGAGCTGCCCCAGGAATCAGTTCCGTGAAGGGTAAGGGAAGGAAGCTGGTGAGGCAGAGGGTGGGGCAGAGTCATGATGCAGCCCTGTGATAGCCTCCATGATGCAGCCAACCCTGCAGGCTCCAGAGCAAAAGGTCTATCTTTAGCATGGTTCCATGTTGGGCCAGGGTAGCTAGGCCTTTATATCATCCTCGATCAGTTGTTGGATCCAGGTTGCCCCAAGATGTGTCCTTGGATGAGGCCACTCTGCACAGGATGCACTTAATTCCCCCAGGTACAAGTTGTGACAACCCATAGGAATTGTTGTCCACCAGGGAAGTTCATCAGTGCCTCCGTACCCAGGGTTTTTGTTGGGGGCTGGTCACATGGCCCCTACTTTGTAACGTGTACCCAAATCCCACACTCCCAGAAGGAAAGCAGGTGTTCAGTGTAAACCACATTGTTTGCACAAACAGTTTAGGCCCAGTGAGCACCTCTCCTCATTTAGGGAATGCTAGGAACCATTATGAAATCAAGATTCCTAGACATTTCAAGGAGAGCAGTCTTAGGCCTGCTGTGTTAATCCTTTACCACACAGCTAGATACTGGCAGAGAGCGAAAGAGAAGAAAGAACCTATTTGAGAATAGGAAGGAGCAGGCCTTGAGAGCCAAGAATGCTCTTGACCTATGGAAACCAGGGAACTGGAACCACTTGTCATTGCTGGGAAGTTTGAGGATGATGACGCTGACCTACCCTGCAGGTTATAACCTCACTTGTTTTGTTCCTTCACAGCTGAGCCAGCCTCTGTCCTCCCCTGCAAGTCAGGTCCCCAGAAACAAAGATTCTCACTCAAACTGGTGAGTGGCTTCAAGGACGGTGCGGGGGCAGCTCGAAGGGTAGGGCCTAGGACTTTGACAAGTGCACCATCAACTTCTGAGTCCCTCTGTAAGCTGGGAAAGCTCGTTCTGGGGCCAGGGTCCCCATGGCCTGCAAGGAGCAATGGGACCTTAGTTAGGACAGCTCCCGGTTCTTCATCACATGGGGCTGTTTGAAAACTGCACTCAGATCTCCCTGAGTCCAACTCTGACACTTCTGGGCTGTGTAATCTAGGCAAGTGCATCCCCTCTCAGAGCTCTGTTTCCTCATGTGTTAAATGGAGCCAATAACACCCTCCTCACGTGGCCCACCTGCCCATTACTGCCTTCCTGGTAGCAGGTACTTACTGAACACCTACTGTGTGTCACTGCGTGTTGGGGTTCAGTAGAGATCCAATCAGAAGGGGTCTCTGCACTGAAGATTCAATGAAATCATATCAGGTGCTTAGCACTAGGCTCAGCAGGAAACATATACTCGGATGGCCAAAAGGAAAGACCAAACAGAGAAAGGAGAGCAGCTAGGGCCGGCCCTGTGGCTCACTCGGGAGAGTGCGGTGCTGATAACACCAAGGCCACAGGTTCGGATCCCATATAGGGATGGCCAGTTAGCTCACTGGGTGAGCATGGTGCTGACAACACCAAGTCAAGGGTTAAGATCCCCTTGACTTTAAAAAAAAAAAAAAAATGTCATTGTGGTTCATAGCTTCGTCGTCATCCCTGGGTGCTGGGATTATGAATGACTTATTTTCTTCTTTTCATTTATCCGGATTGTATCGCATCCCATTAAACTGGGGACAGCTGGATCAGGTGCCCTCTCTCAGCCTAGATGGAAACCGTATGAGTAGTTTAGAGCATGGGCAACTCTGGGAGCCAGGCTCACTAATGACAGGTGGCACTTGCTTTAGAGCCTGTTGTGTGCCCAGCCCTGGGCTAAAGTTTCACAATCACTGTTTTGTTGAATCCTCTCAACAAGCCTATGGAGTAGCTACTGTGTTCCCCATTTAGCTCTTTTCTACACTGTTCAGATGGTGCCTGGCACACTAAGCACCCCATCAGTCTGTGCTGCTCCTGTTACTGTTATTATTACCTTCCTCACTTGGGAGACAGAAATGAAGCCTCTGTTCATCTGTTCAATCCAATCAACATTTCCTGAGGCTCAGAGCTGGTTGATTCTGGGATATGAGTCAGACCGAGAACCAACCCTGGAGGAGCTTCCAGTCTGGCAGGAGAGACACTACATCACAGTCCCATCGAGGAGAGGGATGTGCTCCAAGGGAGGGGTACAGGGCATGGGGCTGACCAGAGAAGGATCTTTAGGAGAGCCTCCCCATCTAATGGGGAAGGCAGTTCTGTTCTGATGTATTTGAAAGGGCAGGTGCTTAATGCCCTGTAGTGTTCATTCATTTGCTTATTCATTCATTCACCAAACTTCCTGCAGCTTCCTGTGAATTAACTGGGTGCTAGGGACATCTGCAAAGATGTGTCAGACCCTATTTCTGCCCTCAAGGAGCTCCCCCAGTAGGGGAGTTGGGCAAAGGAATAAATATACCAGGTATTACTGATTGATCAGGGCCTAAGCACTGTGCCAACAGCAGCTCTGATTTACCAAATGCTTGCTATGTGCTTCACCTACATCATGGGGAGGACATAAGGAAGCAAGGAGGGAAGGACAGAAGGACAAGAGGAGGATGGGCTGGGGCAGGGAGCCAGGCTCACTAATGATTAATGACACCTGCTTATTGAGAGCCTGTTATGTGACAGACCCTAGAGTTTCAAGAGCACTGTGTGGTTGAATTCTTTCAGCAAGACTATGGGATAGCTGCCATGTTCTTTCCCATTTAACAGATGAGGAAATGGAGGCTCAGTCATTGGTCCAGGGACACCCAGTATACCTGTTGCTTTGTTCACTACTTTGTCCCCAATGCCCAGAATAATACTCAGCACATGATAGAGGNAAAAAAAAAAATCAATATTAAAATGGCTTAAGCAAGGTCATATTTTATGACTTTTTCACTTAAAAGTCTAGGACAGTGGTCCAGGGCTGATATGGGGTTACATAAACAAGGGGCCCAGTTTCCTTTTCTCTTGTTGCTTCAACTCATAACCTCCATCAGTGGGTTGAAATGGCTTCTCTAGCTCCCACCATCACATCTGTATTCCAGCCAACTGGAACTGGAGACCAAGAAAGGGAGAGCCAGTCCCAGCCTTTTAAGGGCATAACCTAGAAGTTGCTCATACTTCTGCTGACATCCCTGTTGGCCAGAACTTGGTCATGTGCTCTTTCCTCACTGCAAAGGAGGCTGGGAAATGTAGCTTTTAGCTGAAGGCCACATATCTAAGGAAAATTCATGGGTGCTATTGTAAAAGAAAGAAAAGGAACCTGAGTACTGAAAGATAGCTCACAGTCTCCGATGTGTTCACGTGCAGCAACCCAGGGAATTGGGATCTCATGTGGGGGACTTGATGAGAAACCTGGTCATTGCTAGCATTAGCATGGGGTGGTAAATGTTCAATAGTGATTGGGGCCCTTGTCTAAGAGAGTTCCTTATGACAGACTTTTGCCCCTTGTGTCACCCACCAGGATGCTAAGGATGGACGCTTGTTCAATGAGCAGAACTTCTTCCAGCGGGCTGCCAAGCCTCTGCAAGGTATTCCATAGGGAAGTGGCCAGGATGAGACAGTTAGGGGTACCAGCTTGGTCGCAGCAACTAGCTTCTTGTAGGTGTGAGAAGCGTAGGGATTAAAGGCCCAGATTTGCATCCCATCTGTACTCCCAACCTGACTCCTGTCACCCCTCAGACAATGTGTACTGGGCTGGCTCAGACCAGCTCTTGAGAGTCAAGTATTAGATTTTCAGGAATACTGCAAGCTGGCTGTTATATACAGTCATTATTAAAAATGAAATTACATAAACTTATAATCAAATAAATTATATTCAAAACACAGGGAATAAACACTCAAAAATTCGTCGTTTTCTAATTATTTTTTCCACATTTTCTGTTCTCTGTACTCTTATTGTCATTTATATATGTCGTATCTGTATGGTGAAAATACTGCATAATGGCATGCCACTATGCGTCTCTCCCCAACTGCATGTTCAGTCATGTCATACTAGAAGCTTGAAATTGGCCATGGTGGGAGGAGTTTACACCACAGACATTGGCAGACGCTACCCATCAGGACTGTTCTTCCCTGGACAGCTAGCCTCTAAACTTGTATCGGACACCACTGGTTCTGTTCCACCCCACTGANAACCTCCATCAGTGGGTTGAAATGGCTTCTCTAGCTCCCACCATCACATCTGTATTCCAGCCAACTGGAACTGGAGACCAAGAAAGGGAGAGCCAGTCCCAGCCTTTTAAGGGCATAACCTAGAAGTTGCTCATACTTCTGCTGACATCCCTGTTGGCCAGAACTTGGTCATGTGCTCTTTCCTCACTGCAAAGGAGGCTGGGAAATGTAGTTTTTAGCTGAAGGCCACATATCTAAGGAAAATTCATGGGTGCTATTGTAAAAGAAAGAAAAGGAACCTGAGTACTGGAAGATAGCTCACAGTCTCCGATGTGTTCACGTGCAGCAACCCAGGGAATTGGGATCTCATGTGGGGGACTTGATGAGAAACCTGGTCATTGCTAGCATTAGCATGGGGTGGTAAATGTTCAATAGTGATTGGGGCCCTTGTCTAAGAGAGTTCCTTATGACAGACTTTTGCCCCTTGTGTCACCCACCAGGATGCTAAGGATGGACGCTTGTTCAATGAGCAGAACTTCTTCCAGCGGGCTGCCAAGCCTCTGCAAGGTATTCCATAGGGAAGTGGCCAGGATGAGACAGTTAGGGGTACCAGCTTGGTCGCAGCAACTAGCTTCTTGTAGGTGTGAGAAGCGTAGGGATTAAAGGCCCAGATTTGCATCCCATCTGTACTCCCAACCTGACTCCTGTCACCCCTCAGACAATGTGTACTGGGCTGGCTCAGACCAGCTCTTGAGAGTCAAGTATTAGATTTTCAGGAATACTGCAAGCTGGCTGTTATATACAGTCATTATTAAAAATGAAATTACATAAACTTATAATCAAATAAATTATATTCAAAACACAGGGAATAAACACTCAAAAATTCGTCGTTTTCTAATTATTTTTTCCACATTTTCTGTTCTCTGTACTCTTATTGTCATTTATATATGTCGTATCTGTGTGGTGAAAATACTGCATAATGGCATGCCACTATGCGTCTCTCCCCAACTGCATGTTCAGTCATGTCATACTAGAAGCTTGAAATTGGCCATGGTGGGAGGAGTTTACACCACAGACATTGGCAGACGCTACCCATCAGGACTGTTCTTCCCTGGACAGCTAGCCTCTAAACTTGTATCGGACACCACTGGTTCTGTTCCACCCCACTGAGATTCTGGAAGATAGAGTCAAATTCTAGTGACATTATGGCCAGTTTAGACATTTATTAATCCTATTAGCCACATATGTGAATTCAGAAATTCTTATCCCTTCCACTCCCTCCAGGTTTGTATATACTTCCTCAGACATAACCCATGTTCACCATGTGTCACCAGCAGACATGGATTACAGACATCCATGGGTCACCCACACCTACCTTGTCACCACCCCCTCTCTCTGTCCTCCCCCACCGCCACTACCACCACACACACACAAAGGTGTCATCTCCAGTAAGGAGACTCGGGGTCTGGTCTGGGTGCGGATGCCCTCTACTTCTGGTCTGAGAATGAACTGTTGTTCCCGTGCACCTGGGACCAGGTGGGCTCTAACCTCAAGACCCTGTCTACCGCAGTGAGCAAGTGGAAGAAGCTGTACTCAACCCCCCTACTGGCCATCCCCACCTGTGTCGGTTTTGGTGTTCACCAGGACAAATACAGGTGAGCAGCCCACCTCACTCGCCCCTTTCTTTCTCTTCCTGTCATGTTCCCAGGCATGGCTGGGACCCTGGAACTATCAGCCAGTTAGTTGCTTCGTTCCTTCCGTTATTTTTGAGCTAGGCTGGTGCCCCAGCCAGTCAGAATCCTTAATCTCACCTGGGCCAGGACCTGGCACCCCTGCCGGCTGCAGTCCATCCTTGGCAGCCTGCATTCCTCCCCTCCCCTATTCATCTCCCACCTTCCAGGATGCCCATGTCTTCCAGGTTTTTGGTGTTCCCCAGCCTGGGGAGGAGCCTTCATTCAGCCCTGGATGACAACCCGAAGCATGTGATGTCAGAGAAGGCCGTGTTCCAGGTGGCATACAGACTGGTACATACCTTGGAGTCGCTCAGCTCCTACGGGAGACATGGCACATCTTCTCTTGGTTTTTCAGCCGTTTATTAACACATCTAGCCCCCACCTCTCTCTGGTGGACATTTGGGGCTAGCACACCAACTGGCACAGGCAGACAGATGAAAAATAGGCCGTTACAACTGGGATGATAAGCATTGCCACGGGGTGCCTGCAGGGGGCCAGGAACGTTGGAGGAAGGAGCCCCAGCCCCAAATCAAGGGGCTAAATTGGTTTCCTGGTGGAGGTTGTTTCTAAGCCAAGACCAGCAGAGAGAGTGGTAAATAGCAAGGTGCTGATGGAATAGGAGTGGGCATATGTGAGAAGAGAATATTCCAGGCCAAGGATACAGCTTGGGCAAAGGCTTATATGGGAGAGAGAGCACAAGGCATTTGTTCATTCATCCATCCTCTCATTAAATATTTATCATGTACCTGCTGGGTGCCAGACACTGTCCCAGGGGCCAGGGCTGGAGAAGGGAGCAGCACAGATGTGGTTTTTATGTCTAGAGCTCACAGGCTAGTGGGAGAGGGTGCTGTTAAATTAAACAGTTGCACAAATTGTCACAAGTGCTCTGAATAGAAATGTCCCCCTGCTCTGATGGAGAATGAGAGCACCCAATTTAAATTTTTGGAAGGATGGAAGTACCAAGGGGATGACATATTAGGTGAGTCTCAAAGGTCTTAGTGCTCAGAGTGTCTGCAGTATGATGTGGGGGCAGGGAGGGAGGGTAAGAGATGAAGTTGGTGTGGAGAAGTCAGCAGTGACCAGATCACGCAGGGCTTCCAACACCAGCCTGAGGAACTGGGACTCTGTCCTGAGGGTGCTGGCAAACCACGGAGAATTTGGGAGGAGGGGAGAGGCAGGATCAGCTCTGGGTACAGAAAGACCCTCAGGGGCCTTGTGGGGATAGACTAGAGGCCAAGTGAAGGTCCATGTGAGAGAAGATGTGGCCTGAGGAGGATCTCAGGCTATGGGGACGGAAAGTCTGTAGAAGTAAAACAAGCAGAACTTGGTAGACAGTTAAGCCCTGGGGTCAGAGAGGGTCTTGAGGACATGATTAGGATGTAGCTATCACTAGGCAGTTCAGTGTAAGAATCTGGAGCTCATTATAAAAGTTGGAGCTGGATATGAAGGTAAAAGTTGCTTAACTAAATTTATTTCTGCTCTCTAGAAGTAAGAACTCTGTTGTACATGGGCACTGGGTTATTTTTGGAGAGGGGCATTAAGTGACCCTCTTCTTCCCTTCAGGAGTTTGCAGTCAACTAGGAGTTGGAGGTAGATGGAAAGCTTTACTGATGAATTTTTTAAAAGCACAATTAGAGACGTGCTTAGGTGTGCTGTCACAGTGGACTTTCTAATGCTGCACCCAGAATTAATCAGGTTTAACACCTTAGTTAAGTACCAGACAACCCCAGGCCTAACAGTGGGGGTGCTGTCACCCAGCTCTGCATCAGAGCCTCTTTATGTTAGTCATGCTACTTGTGAAGATGCTTGCTTTCCTCTTCCCCCAGCTGGATGCCCTGGAGTTCCTCCATGAAAATGAGTACGTTCATGGAAATGTGACAGCTGAGAATGTCTTTGTGAATCCAGAGGATCTGAGCCAGGTAAGAGCCAGATCCTCCCCACTCTGGGAGGTTTCTGGGCTCAGGTTCTCATCTGTCCCCAAACCTCCATTTATTTCACAATGCTTATTGCAGATGAAGGATTGCTATCGGTCATATATAAAGAGCTCCTTTGAATAAAAAAGAATATATAAGCAACTTAGTAGAAAAATGGGCAATGGATAGGAAAAGCAGTTCATAGAAAAAGAGATCCACAGGTTAATTAAATATATGAAAACATGTTCAACCTCCATAATAATCACAGAAATGCAAATTAAAACAAGATACTGTTTTCAACCTTTGGATGGATAAAATTAAGAACGGTAGTATCTGTTGCTGGTAAGGATATAAGGAAATAGGAATGCTTCATACACTGTTGGAAATATGAATTGGGCAACCTTTTTGGAAGGTAATTTAGAGATAAAAATCACAATTTAAAGTGTATCTGTTTTTGATCCATCAGTTCCTCTTTAGGAATGTATTCTATCCATATATTTGTAAGATATTCAAAAGTATATGTGCAAGATGTTCCTGACAACACTGACTGTAATAGTAAAATGGGAAATGCCTTAAATATATAGTCACAGTAGGATACTGATTAAATAGTATTTCAATGTAAATTCTAATCACTCTTTCAGTTGCAAATGACAGAAACCCAACTTGACATGGCTTAGGCAAAAAAAAGGGGGGTGGGGAGGAGAGTGTGCAATTTATTAGTCCATGGAATGGAAAAATTGGGGCCTTTATTGGCTTCAGGCATGGCTGCATCTAGGAACTCAAGCCCTGTCATTGGGAAGCTGCCTTTTCCATCTCTGGGCTCTTCTTGCTTCTGCACTGCTCATTGTCAGGCAGACTCTTATATCATGGTGACAAAATTGGCTTAAGTCCCCAAAGCTTAGCAACTTCAGCAGAAACAGATCAGGTGAGTTTCACCTGAATTCCATGGACTGAGAGATGGGGAGAGTCAATCCAGAGGAAAATCTCAGAACCATGTATTAGTCAGGGTTCTTCAGAGAAACAGAACCAACAAGTTGTGTGTGTGTGTGCGTGCGTTTGTATAAAGAGATTTATTACAATGATTGGCTATGTGATTATGGAGACTGAGCAGCCCCAAGATCTTCAGTTGGCAAGCTGGAGACCCAAGAGAGCTGATGGTATGGTTCCAGTCCAAAGACAAGCAGGCCCAAGACCCAAGAAGAGCTAAAGTTCTAGTTCAAGTCCAAAGGCAAGAGAAAACCAATGTCCAGCTTAAGCATTCAGGCAGGAGGAGTTCCCTCTTCCTGAGCTTTTGTGTTCTATTCACATCTTCAATTGATTGGATGGAGCCCACCACATTAGGAAGAGCAATCTGCTTTACTGAATCTACCAGTTCAAATGTTACTCTCATTCAGAAACACCCTCATAGACACACTCAGAATAATGTTTGGCTAAATGTGGGCACCCTGTGGCCCAGTCAAGTTGCCACATAAAACTGACCATCGCAAACTGTGACCAGAGGAACGGAGTGAGGGAGTTTATAGCCCTCACACAAACAAAACCAACAGTTGTCCACTATTTATATGGTAGATAAGTGCCGGCCAGCCGCCAAAAAAAAAAAGTACATATGATAGATAAGATGCAGCCATTAAAAAAATGTGTATCTGCCAGATAAGGCCTTTACTTTTTGATTTAAACTCAGTGAAGCCTCAAAATAACCCTTTGAGGTGGGAACTATTATTATCATCATTTTACAAATAGAAAAATCAAAGCACAGAGAAGTTTCACAACTTGCCCAAGGGCTGTGGCTCACTCGGGAGAGTGTGGTGCTGATAACACCAAGGCCATGGGTGCGGATCCCATATAGGGATGGCCAGTTTGCTCACTGGGTGAGCGTGGTGCTGACAACACCAAGTCAAGGGTTAAGAACCCCTTACCGGTCATCTTTTAAAAAATAATAAAATAAAATAAAATAACTTGCCCAAGGTTGTACAGCCAGCAAAGGGCTGAGCTGTTATTTGATCCCAGGCCATCTGGCTCCAGAGTTAATGTCCTGAACTAATATTAAAGCGCAAAAAGCTGAGTGCCCAAAAGGAGGTACAGTGTAATACCTCCTCTGTGGAAAACAAGAGCCTTCTCCCTATCCACATTTATTTACCTGGTTATTTAAAGAAAACAATTTGGAACAATGTATAAGAAACTCTCACTAGGGGTTACTTGTGGACAGTGGGTTTTGGGGACTGGGGAGGATTCGTTGAATGAGTACATGGATGAAATTTGGATGGTTGGTTTGGGTTCTTTTCACTTCACACCTTCCCATACTGTTTGGCATTTTTACTATGTGCATGGCGTAGTTTTATAAGTTAAAGAAGTCATCTGTCATGGATGGGTTGTTTCAATTTGCACCCGTGATTGAAATCTCCAACTCCAGAGTCTGCACTCCTAACCTCCAATCTGTATGGCTTCTCCCCATGTCCACAGGTGACCCTGGTGGGCTATGGCTTCACCTTCCGCTATTGCCCAAGTGGCAGACATGTGGCCTACATGGAAGGCAGCAGGAGCCCACATGAGGGAGACCTCGAGTTCATTAGCATGGACCTACACAAGGGATGTGGTAAGAGGCCAGAAGAGGGGCTCAGGACCATGGAGACACACTTCTCTTACAAGGGCAGCTCGAGAAGTTCACAGCCACGGGCAGCAGATGGTCAGACCAAGGAGAGGCACTAAGGATGCCCTGATAGGGGTTCAGAACCAATGACAGTGTCCCAGACACATAAAGGGCTGTGAGGCAGCGGTTCAGCACCAAGGACAACAGTAGGCTGGCACTGGAAGTGGAGGAACGTGGGATTTAGCACTAAGAACAACAGCTAACTGGACACCAGGAAGCCCTGAGTTTCAGAAGTTGAGATTCAGGATCTGGTGTAGACTTGGAAGATGAGAGTTGCCTAAGAGTCATCCAGGAGGGGGCTGTTGAGGAGGCACCTGGCTATCCAGATCTGGAGTGTGAGAGCAAAGTCTGGGCAGGGACCCAGACCCCTGGAGTGTCTCAGGAGTTATTAGCTGAAGCCCTGGGAGAGGATGAGATTATCCAGGGAAAGTGTACAGAGTAGGAAGAGGACCCAGAGCAGATTCCTTGAGCCTTTTGTTCTCATATCCCTTTATATCCATGTGCCTGCCTGTGTCCTCCCACCAGACTGAGTTCCCCCAGAGCAAGGATGGTGCCTCTGCCTTCAGCGTCAGGTGGCAGAAGGTCGACACAGTCAGCCAGCATCAGGTGGCAAAGGATGGCACAGTCAGGGTTTGTTGAATGCTTACACGAAGAGTTGTGTGGGCCGGTCCGGTGGCGCACTGGAGAGTGTGCCGCTTGAGAGCGTGGCCACGCTCCCGCCGAGGGTTCGGATCCCATGTGGTGACCAGTTCCCGCTCACTGGCTGAGCGTGGTGCGGGCGCAACACCGAGGGTTGCGATCCCGTTGCCGGTCCCCGGTACAGGCGCAAGACCGAGGGTTGCGATCCCGTACCGGTCAGTAAAAAAGACAAAAAGGAAAAAAAAAAAGAGTTGTCTAAATTATGTGATTTAGGAAGCATAAGGAAAATAAAACCTCATAGTCTCCTTCATCCTGCCCCACTGAGGCTGAGTTCAGTACCCATCTTCTGGGCTCCCCTGGGCCCTGTTCTGTGTCCTTTGTAGCTTAGGTAATTCCACCACTAGACTGTCAAGGATTGGGACCGAACCAAACTCTGGTCTGAGTTTTCAGAATGTGAGATGGGGCCTGGCACACAACACTGAGGATTTGTTGAACGAGCACATGAGTGAAAGAAGAGCAGACGAGGGAGTGAGCCAGCAAAAGTGGGGGTGATGGGATGGTTGAATGAGTGAGAGTAATTGGGAATGAGAGTAGGTGAATAAAAAGTGACTGAACGGGGCTGGTGTGTGGCTCACTTGGGAGAGTGATGCTAATAACACCAAGGCCACGGGTTTGGATCCCTATATAGGGATGACCAGTTAGCTCAATTGGGAGAGCATGGTGCTGACAACACCAAGTCAAGGGTTAAGATCCCC